TCCTTTCACAGTCTATTTTTTACCCTAATTATGTCCTATTATTTTACTCTATGAACTTTATAGTAGTTATCACTATAAAAATTCTTAGGTGCTTTTTTTACATTAACACATAGAAGTTACGTTCTAGAGGAGTGAAAGATATGCAGGAAAACAAATTAGTCTAAGAGAGATGTAAGTAAGGGGACACTCAAGCAGAGACCTGAAGGAAATGAAGGAAAGATCTGTATGGCCAAGGGTGGGGGGGGGAGGGGGGGAGCCTTCCAGCTAAGGCAAACAGCAGATGTGAAGGCCCCAGTGTAGGAACATGTTTTGTCTGGTATAGGGAACAGCATGGTGGTTATTGTATAAATGACTGAAAGGGAAGCAGTAGATGTAAGACTAAGGAGGTATGAAGAGGTTGGCTAGATTGCTCAGGTCTTTGGAAACCTTAGTTAAAAACTGATTTTAGATATGTGTGAGACTGGAAGCCATTGTAGGTTTTGAGCAGAAGAGTAAGATGTTTTACTCTTTTTCTCTTTCTTTCTTTCTTTCTTTCTTTCTTTCTTTCTTTCTTTCTTTTTTTTTTTTGTGCTGGGGTTCAAACTCAGGATCTTATGTTTGCCAGGCAGGCACTTATCCCACTCAGCTATCTCCCCGACAGATGTTTTACTCTCAACCTCTCTGCTGGTGGAATTTAAGGTATGTGGAGCAAGGATGGAAACTCTCCCAATTTGTGTCTAATTTGCCTTTATTCACCTAGGACTTTTTCTTTTCTTGCTTTAAAAATTATTTTTCCTCTTACAATTTAAAAACATGATATTTAAGCACCAGTATAATAATACAGAATCTATACTATCAACATCTATTTTAGCCTCTTACCACTACCTGGCTAAGTTTACATACCTTATATAATACGCACTTCCCATGTTGAAACCAAGAAAGTCCTTTTAAAAGGATTCTTTTTATTTTATTTTATTTCTGCGGAACCAGGGATTGAACTCAGGCCCTTGTGCTTGGCAGGGAAGCACTTATTCCACTGAGCCATCTCCCTGGCCCCAGGACTCTTTTTAAAAAAATAAGTTTATTGATACAATTTAGAAAATGATCACATTCATCATAGGGATTGTGTACCTGTACACAGTATCTTTTGGTTTATCTTTTTTCTTTAGTCCTCTCTTTTTGAACTAGAACTTTCTTGGTTTTAGCATTGAAGACTCTGCATCCTGAGACTACCCTCAAATACTGGCCAAACAAGATGATGTCACTTATCCTGGCAGGTCAATGATCCAGGGTATTAAAGTTATAGTGATGGAAAAATGGTCAGATTTTGGGTATATATTTTTTTTAAAACTTTTTATGTTTTAAGCTTTTATTTACACTTTTGAAATGGAATTCACATGGCACAAAATTAAGTTGGCACAAAAGGGGTCAGAAATTATAACATATAAATATCTTTTATATTTTCTATCCACTCCTTGTTCTTCTGCCAAGGCAAAGGCTATTTTTTTTTATTATCTTGTGTATCCTTCAGATGAGTTTCTGCATCTTTACAAAATATTTTTACAGAATATTCACATAGCTACCTCATTCTTTTAATGACTTTCTAGTATCCCCTTTTGTGATATATTATAGATTTTGGGTATATTTTAAAAGAAAAGTTTCAAAGTTTTGCTGAATGAGTGTGAATATGATCAAATGAAGTTAAGGATGACTTGCAGATTTTTGGTCTGAAAAACTGGAAGGACAAGGTCTCTATTTAGAGAGCAGAAAGGGTGCAGGCAGACTAGCTTTTGGAGAAAGGATGATAGTTGTTTTGTTTCTGAATATGTTAGTTTGTGACAATAGACTGGCAGGAGGGATGTCAATCAGGCTGTTGGATAAGTGAGACTCTGAGGTACGTTCCAGCATAGAGATTCAACATGATACTTAAAAGTCATATGTGTGGATGAGATCATCAAGGAGCAAATATAGGTAGAATGCTAAGGACTGAGCTCTGGATATGTCAATATTTAGAAATTAGGGAAAAGAGACACTAGTAAAGAAGACTGAAAAGCTGGGGCCAGTGATATAGGAGGAGAACCAAGAGAGGTGGGTCCTCGGGAAAACTTTGTGCTAAATAGTGTTCCAGGTAACACACTGGAGATCTACAAAGACAGGAATAATTAAATGGTGCCAAGAAGCTGAACTAAACCTGGGGAGACAATTCTGTGGTGGACCAGTCTCTAACAGAAGTAATGGACACACATCATGCCCACAAGATGCCACTGGATGGAGTATCTTCCTTCTATTACCTCAGGACTCCTTCACAAACACCTCCCTTGGAATTCTCAGTGCTCAGAATCTGGTAACTTCTCTTTCAGAGAACAATGGGTCCTGAGCCTTGTGAAGGCTCTCATTGGTGGAGAAATGAGTAGGTGAATTCTCCATTCCAACAGCCACAAGCCGGAAACCAAGGCTAAAATGGATTCCCAGCAGGACCTGAGCGTCTCTGGAAGTAAGTGCCCCTCTAATTCCTGCCCATTGCCTCATGCCTTTGGGCATGAGGACAAAGTCAGGGAAGGTCCTTTGCATTAATGGGGTGGTGGCCACTCAGTTGGAGTGCAAAGCAGTTCAGAGGTAGCATCCTGTAGGAAGCTGAGGCTCCCTCAAAGCAGAGACTGCTCTGCCCAACCACAGGAGATAGACCGGTGAACTTAACTTCCCTGCCCTTACTGAGACTTCTCAGTGCCATGGATTGATTAGTGCCTGAGCTGGGAGCCAGGAAGCCTGATTGAACCTAGGCAGGTCATGCTCCCTCTAGACCTGGGTTTCCTTATCTGTAAAGGGCTACAGTGACCTCTGAAGTGCCTTAGAGATTCAGCTTTGAATGATGGAGAGATGTGGCAAGTCTGGGGAGGTGGGTGGGAGGAATGGAAAGAGTAGTTCAGTGGAAGGAGTGATTGATTGGCAAATGGGTCAAGGATAGGACTGAGCAACAGCTCAGACTCCAAGAGATGCCAAGCAGCCTGTCTCTTTCTTTCTGCCTTAGGGTGGGTGTCACTGTACTTTGGATTCCTGGGGCTGTGTTCTGTGCTAACGGGCAGCTGCATTATATTTCTGCACTGGAAGAAGAACATGTGGCGGGAAGCGCGTGCCCAGCAGTGGGTTGAGGTGATGAGAACCACCAGGCTTACCTACAGCCCGCTGTTGTACTGGATCAACAAGCGACGGCGCTATGGCATGAACGCAGCCATCAATACGGGCCCGCTCCCTGCTGTTGCCAAGCCTGAGACTGAAGTCCAGAATCCAGGTCCTTCATGCGAGCTGGTTATCCCTGAAGGCACGAACTACCCTGTCCAACAAAGCAGCCCCAAGATGGAGTCCCCTGATCCTCTGCAACCCACTCTGGTGGCACAACAGCCTGTATCTTCCCTCCTGCTGCAGCCCCAGTCCCGTTCCCCAGTCCCAACCCTCATCTTTCAAGAGGCACCTTGTGCCCCAACCCTATGCAGCCTACCTCCCATCCTAAGTCATGCGGTCTCCTACCCTTTGGCCAAGCATCCTGAGAAGAATGTCCACTTCCATTCCCTGCCCACACTGGCCCCTGGGGAAAAGAGCTTCAATGCCAAACCTTTTGCTGCAGAAGTCTAGCCACCTTTCACTGGGATTGGAAGCTGAAGCTACCAGGGGCAGAATGGAAAATGGAAGTGGTGTTGATACACAGGCCAGAGCCTATCACATTTGAAGGATTAAAAAAAGTCCAGATTTCTCTTGTGTCTCACTTGCTGCTAGGAGGGCAATGTCTTTCCTCTGACACAGGGATTGGGGAACTTTGTAAACTAAGTTGCAAGGTATCACCAAATACAAAGGCTAGCTGTGGGGAGACACACTAAACCCATCCTGTGGATGCGCTCACTGTCCCTCCATTCAATATTTAAGCCCAAATGTGTGGGCCAGGCTCTAGGCTAGGTCTCAAAGACACTGCTGTTCCATAGCACACAGCTATGGAGGTCCATAGTGGCTGTCAGTGGCCAAACAAGTCCTGTGATGAGACCTTTGAACCACAGTACACTAAGCGTTTGAATGGCTGATAAGGATTGTAGGTGATCTCTGTACATTGTTTCTAAAACTCACAGAATACTGTCACATAGCTATCATAAACCTTCTCTGACAGAGGAAGAAACAGGTTCCTAGAGCAACGCTAGATAATTTTTATGTTGCAGGGCCAGTTTTCTCCAAGTTACATCTGTCTGGTATCAAAGTTCCTGATTTTTTCACCATATCTCATGTTGTCTCTTCTCTAATCCTAATCTATTCTGTATTAGCATGCACTTGGTAAACACTTTAGTGTGGGTAGGGCATTAGCAACTTGGTCCAGACTGGCTTAGAGGGAGTAGTTATATACAGAAATACACCTATTGTTTATCTTTCTTAGAACTCCATGGCTTCCTACAAGATTGGCAATAAAAGAGTATCGATAATCTTTGTACCTTCTGAAAACAGTCCTAGAAAGATAAAGACAATACTATTTGCCCCCTATTTAAAGATAAGAAAGTTTGTCTCTGTCATAAAATATACATTTCTCCCTTTTACTTTGGGAATGAGCAAATCCTCTTATTGTAAATAATCTAACTGTAGGCTTCCCTAAGGGCAAAGGCCCCTCGAAGTGTGTGTGCATTCCCAGAACCTACTAAATGTGATTTTTTTTTTGATGTATGTAAAGGCCTCAGCCTGATCATATAGTCCCTCTCTAAGAATCCATTTAAAGCCCTTTTCTTGCAAACTTACTCTTATGTTGAATCTCTAAATACAAAACAGGCATAACTAGAGATCAGGAATCATTCCTCTCATCTTGCTCCTTTCCCACTCTGTAGATACACAAAGCCTAAGCTCTGCAGTCTTCACTTCTTTAAAATGTTTTTTGTTTGTTTTTTGAGACAGGGTCTCTCTGGGTAGTTCAGAAGGGTGGCCCTGAACTCACTGTGTAGCCCAGGCTGGCCTCAAACTCACAGTGATTCTCCTGTCTCAGCCTCCCAAGTACTGGGATTACGGGTATGCACCACCAAACCTGGTGGCAAATATTGAGATTACTTCGTGCCCACCATCCTTGCTTTCAAAAGGAAGATAAAGTCCAAAAAATATGGAACAAAGCAGGTTTTTCTCCCTTAATAATCAGGGAGTGGGGAAGGCTTTATTCAGACATACTAAGAGAAAAAAGAAATGTTTTATTTAGATAAATTAAAATGGCTGTATTACTGATATGAAATAAACAAAGCTTGAATCAAGTCATGGAAACCTTGAATTCACTCTCTCAAAAAAACCAAAATTGCATATGCATTACTAAAATAACATCACTAAAATAAAGTAGATTTACATTTCTTAATATGAGAAAACAAGGTAGCTTAGGTTCTTATAATACATACACATTCTATAGTCTCAGGAATACCCAAATGTGTTCTGCTTTGGATATGAAAGAAGGTACCACACATCTAGCTGGTGTTGACAAGCAAGCCAATGAGGTGTATAGCAAACAAAAGCTGTCACTAGAAACAACTCAACAGGCTATTAAGAGTATGAGCCCATTATAGTCAAAATCCTTGACTGTGACCAGCAGGACCAGCAAGGGGGGCTGAAGGGGTTATGTCCAGTAACTGCAAAGAAAGAAAAGTGCAAAGGAAGGGAAAACAGTCAGCAGCAGAGGAACAGCGTCCACTCCTCTGCTTTCTGATCAGACCCATTCTTGAGTGTCAGGCACATTCCTGGCCTTCAGACAACACTACAGTTATCTCAATGCCAGATACACTCTTCCTTTGGTTCTTCTCTTTCTATGCTACTGTTTGCCTCTTTCGACTTATGGGAAGCCTCTTTAAGTATACATTATGCTAGGTAGTACAAGGCCACAGAACAAAAAGATCAAGGAGCAGTGCTTTGGGAAACTACAGCAGTAGGAACTACCAGACTAAAATGGTAGCAGCATTCACCAAGGCCAGACTCACCACCACTACTCAGTCTTTCTCACAGAACTGAGATGTGACGGGTAAGGCTTGACTACAGCTGACAAGACACAGACAGCCTAAGGACAGCATAAAAATGACAACATAAAATGAAAATCCCTAATTAACACTGAGTGGTAGGCTTCTAAGGACCTTTTTCTTTTTCTGAGGCTCAGTATCTGCTCAACTTTGAACAAAGGAGATCTACATACCTACCTCTGTCCAGGAGACGTCGTAGTTTCTCAGGCAGGATGTCAAGGGGGCCTGAGTGCAGCATGGATGCCTACGGAAGACTTGGTAGGCGAGGGAATGGAATTATGTGGGGCTCTGGGGTGATGCTGGGAGACAGGTTTGAGTTGGGATTCTAGAAGAGAAACTAAAAACCCCACAAAACCTCCATAGCTAGCTACTGGATGTAAGAGAAAGGTACATACCACAAGGAGTTAAAGTGTCCTCAAAGTATCTGCTTTGAATAAGAACTTGAAACTAAAAAGGACAAGCTACATTACCCTCAAGTATATTTTATATAAATCAGTTTTCAAAAAAATACCTTCCAGGTACAGACATACTTTATGGTACAATATATACAAATATAGCAGTGTAAGTCAATTTATTGCTAGAATTTTATTGGTTGTTAGAAAAATCTGTAAGGGTGCATATATTAAAAAAGAAAGGAGGGCATGGGAGGCAGCCAGAAGAGCAAGAGTTATCTTCAAGTTACCTAAAGTGCCAGGCTAATTTTAAACTATAATGTAATTCTTCCAGGAAAATGAAATAGATGAGCAAGGGAAACATTAAGGAAAAAAAATTAAAAAGACAAACATAAGACATAATGAGATAAGCAGACACATTTACTGGAAAAACTCTGTCTTGCTTGAACTAAATTTTAAGAATTCTAGAGAAAAGTTAAGGTTATGTATTCATCAAATTGAATATAACGTAAAGAAAAAATGGTATTTAGATGCTTTAAGGAAACTGGACTGCATCCATGGATAACAGGCAAACCTGGACAAAATTAAATGATTTCTACTAAAGAAGTCTGTACATGAGAGCTTCTCTAGTTTCTCCCTGACTTATCTACATCAAAGGTAAGTTCTGTAAGTTTTCCTTTTGTGTTGCTCAGACTGCTTCTCAGAACAACACAGAAAGTCTAAGTCAACATAAAGTGACACGGAGGTATTACTCCTTTCAGCCCAGGGGCCTTTTGTGTCAGATCTACACAAATATTTAAAGGGGAAAATATTGCATTTGCTTGTATTAGATGTGAAAAAAAATGTTACCATCATGTGAACAGTCTTGTTCCAGGCCTGCCTAATATAGATCTGAAAATGGTAAGGAAACTTGAATATGATTTTACATTTCATTTTATCTTTTTGGCTTTAGTCATCCCACCAAGAAATATACCCCATTCTTTTATAAAATCCAAAGGGTGTGGTTTTCTGGGCCAAAATCAGAAGTAGAGCTCTCCTCTAATGCTTTGGGTGACTACCCAAAGTGACCAGGGACTTGAGCCTTGCATTTCAGAGTAGAGACAGCCCTGAAGGACAGAGCCAGCTACAACTTTTTTGTTTGCTTTTAAAGACAGGGTCTCACTATGTAGTCCAGATTGGCTTCAACTCATGGTAATCCTGCCTCAGCCTCCTGAGTGCTGGGATGAGAGGTGTGTGCCATCACACCTAGCCCCAAGTATAGCTTTAAGACAGATCTGAGTAGTGGGAGGGTAGGAGAAGACAATTTAGCTTGTTTGCGAGGGGGGAAAGGGAATGCATCTCCTCACTGGGTAACTTTTTTATGTTGGTAAACCCTGAAGCAGAATTTAACAGGGAGAGAAAGGCCTAACAGCTGTACTGAGCCCAGGCCAGCAATGCCCCCATATCAACCAGACCCCTCCCATAACCACAGCCCAAGCCCAGGGCAGCCCTGGGCGTTCCAGGTTGCTATGAGGAGCTCTGAGCAGTTTCAGTGGCTACCCAGGTCAAATGAGTGATTTTTAATAACAAGGCTCTATTCACATCCTGCTCAAAATCATTTTTCCTACTTTCCATACAATATGAACAATCATTCATTTTAAATATTTACAAACAGAAAAGGCTTTCTTTTAAAGAAAAGACATTTTCTGAATCGTTATAAAGTGCAGCTAACTTTAAGGCAAATTTATATGAAATATAAAAGGTGGCTTATTCTTTCTATATACACATTTTCCAGTTTTAAAAGATAAGGTTTCCTTCCCTCAAAAAAAGGAGAGAGAAAAAGGGGGCTATTTTTTTCCTAGCAATTTTAAAAGGTAAGATTTTACTAGCTTCAGGAAATCATAAATTTCTGAACATTATAAGTAAAACATTTTTCTTTTCTTAAAAAAATAAATTTATATAGCTTTTTCAAACAAGTTAAAAGGTGGCAATGTGTCTGCTACAGTAGTTTAGAGGACTGGAGGGCTGATGGGTAAGTAAAAGTTGTTTTTGTTAGATAAGTAGATTTTAGGTTGTCCAGAGTATACATCTATTTGTAAAATATGCCTGATACATTTAGACACCTAAAGCTACTCTTAGCTCCAGGAACGAGTATCTTCCATCTCCGTTGGAATCAAATGCTCTCAAATTCTCTGGTTTTGGTATGGAAGAACCTAGAGAGTTCCAGATGTCCTGGTAGGTCAGCTTCCCATCCACATCCTGGCCAGTCTTGTGGAATAAATCCTGAAGATCTGTCAAAAAGGAATTACAAAAGATGTATGTATCTATACATATATCTAAACTTAGTTAAAAGGAGCCTCAAATGAACTTAAAGAGCTAAAAGAAAAGATGCTCTGCAGATTTTATTTGCAAAGGCAACGTTTAGGATCTCACTAAGTTAAAAAGACTGATTTTTGATCCTTTAAGAATGAGAAGAATACCATATCACATTATTCCTGGCAAATAGAATAAGTGCCAGATAATCATGGAAGAAATGCATGAATTGGTTTTCAGGGCCTTTGTTACATTTTCCAGATTTTATTCAATGCTGAAGGGGTAGAAAGGAATGCAGAGACCTCTTCCTAAGAGCTGCTGTACAAGACAGACTACAACAGATTGTGACACTTCTTGTTGGATGGTTGAGTAGAAACTGGAGGAAAGTCTTGGAAGTCCATAATGCAGAAACAATCCCTAAGACGCACAATTTTCTGAATTTTGATGGGAAAACCAAAGCTCAAAAAGGAAAGTTGCTGGGGCTGGTGAGATGGCTCAGTGGTCTAAAGCACCTACTTGGAACAAGCTTAGCAAATCACAGGGACCACGGTTCAATCCCCCAGCACCACATGCCAGCCTGCCCTGCCCCCTGGTGGGCTGAGCTGGCCGTGCATGCACACACACACACACACACACAAATAAAAAAAATTAAAAAAAAAAAAAAAGGAAAGTTGTTGAAGGTCATGTAACTCTTACATAGCTAGATATAGACTAGAGTACATATTTTCTTATTTTACCAAGTCTGGTGCTTTTTCTAATATGTGACATTGTCACTCTGAATCCAGAAATTAAGCAGATCAAAGAGCAGATATTCAAGACTGAGATGATATATATTTCATCTGCAAAAAAATTGCTGAAGATATGGATAAATCATTTAGACTCTTCTCATATTGGTGAAGAGAATGTAAATGGTGCAGCTACTCTGGAAAATACCTTGGCATTCCTAAAAAAGTTAAGAGATATAATATGATCCAACAATTTTATTGCTAGGTATATACTCAAAGGAAATGAAAATACACACCTATATAAAAACCTGAACACTAATATTCACAACAGCATTGTTCCTAATAGCCTCAAAGTGGAAACATCTCAAATATTCGGCTGAGGAACTGATGAATAAAATGTGGTATGTCCATACAACTGAATATTATTACTCACAACATGAATAGGCCATGAAAACATTATGCTGGCTGGGGAGATAAGCTCAGGGCATATGCAACTGCCTGGCAAGTACAAGGTCTTGAATTCAATTCCCCATACCAAAAAAACCCAAAACCAAAACCGAAACCAAAATCAAAAAACCCCATTATGCTAAAAGAAGCATACTCAAGTTGACATACTGTATGAGTCATTTATATAAAACATTCCCAAAAGGCAAATCTATAGGGGCAGTGGTTGCCAGGGGGCAGGGGCAGAATGAAGTGGGGAGTGACTGTTTTGGTTTTTTTTTTTTTTTTTTTTTTTTTTGGCAGAACCGGGGACTGAACTCAGGCCCTTGCCCTTGGCAGGGAGGCACTTATCCCACTGAGCCATCTCCCCAGCTTCCTGGGAGTGACTGTTTAATAGGCATAGTTTTGTTGTGGGGTGATGAAAATGTGTAACCAGATACTGGTGATAGTTGTATAACAGCTATATTTTTTCCTTTTTTGTATGTTTTAAAAAAATTGGTAGAAAGGCTGGGAGACAGCTCAGTAGTATAAGTGTCTGCCTGGCCCAAGGTTCTGAGTTTGATCCCTGGTACCAAAAGAAAAGAAAACAAACAAACAAAAATTTGGTAGATAAGGAAGAAAGCATTACTCCCATTTGTCCTGTGTCATTTTTATTTCCAAGGCATTATTTCATTCAATAGGACTGCACAATTTCTACTAATAGTCTATAACATTTAAAAGGGACTTGATTTTAACCCCATAATCAAAAGAAGACTTAGTATCTAATACTGAAGGTCAATGCAGCTGTTTCTTTAAAAAAAATCTTCCTAAATTATTTTAATTTCTTCAGGATTTGATGGGCCCCTTGATTATTGGAACTCAGGAAGAATAAAAATGGCTTGAAGAAAGTTAGAAAAGCAGTTCCAGTCCAACAAATTCTTGTAAACACCTGAGTAGGGCTTGGGTTTCACTTTGGTCAAAGGCAGAACAATGAAGCTAGTAAAACCTCAAAAACTCTATGAAAGCCAGGAAAAGCAGGTATTGCTTCTTCCCAATACCTGATACTAAATGGCTAAGTGTTTGTTTTTTTTTTTTTTTTTGTGGTATGAGTTTATATAGTACTTGGTAGCAGTAATCAAATACAAATAATTGTTGCTTTAGGTCACGCAAAAGTGCCTGAGGCCTATGGTGAGGTCTGAAGTACATACCATTCCTTAATCCAATCATCATTTTCCCATTCATTTCCAACAATTCTTGATATATTAATGGAAAGTGGGAAAGGCAACTTGTATTGCTTCTGAACACAATACTCTCCCCTACCCAGATAGTGATACAAATCTTGTGTATTTTATGTTTCAACCATTAATTGCAGTCTGTTGGTAACTCATTCATTCATTTAACTATCATTCTTGTGTATGAGGCAGTGTGCTGGGGTCTAGGAGTGATCAGGACACAGACTTTACTCATGTTAAATTTTTTATCTTCCCGGGAAATTACAACAGAGTGACAAGTGCTAAACAAGGGTAAACACAAAACGTAACAGCACACAAGAGCACCTACTCCAGTCCTGGGAGGTAATGTTTTCTGTTGAAATGTTAGCTAGGCTAGAGTGAAGAGCCAGAGCAGGTAAGTAGATAGGCGTGGGTAATTTTTTCCCAGGCAGCAAATGGAAAATCAAGAGGTTTCAACATTGCAATGAATAGATGACACTGTTGGAAACAAGGCAAACATATTTTTCTGTGAATCATCTACTAATGTTTATTTTGCTGATTTTCAGCAAAGGGGCCTCTCATTTTCGGACTGGAAAAAGTCAATTTTTTTATTTTGCTAATATCCTAACATTATATTTGCTTTTATGCATTCTATACTAGACTATAATATCCTCAAGGAAAGAATTTGAGATTGTATCTTATACTGTACTGTTATAGCTTTGCATATGGTCTAATGAGGCACTCAGTGAATGAATGAAGGCTCTAAAGAACCATAATGGAGAGATGATATGGTACGCTGGTTAAGAGCGCAAGCTATTGTGATAGCCAGTCTCACAATGAATTCTGCTTACCCAATTATGTGCTATTTGGACTTAGGTATTTTCCTATCAGTAAAATGGGTATAATACATGAATACTTATATTCACAGGATGATTAATAGGACATGACGCATATCAAGCAGCTAAAGGAAATATTAAGTGTTAGATATCCTCCTATAAGTTAAAAAACATTAAGTTGAACATTCCCAACTTTATCCTACATTACACAAATTTACCTTCAATGTTAGAAATTCCTGGTAGGGAGACAGGTCTTAGTTGGGCAGTTTTCTCAATTTGGTCTCCAAAATATTGTGAAAATTTTGGCAATGATGATGGCTTTGATGTGAAACTCAGAACTTGCTCTGTAACAAACACATACACTTTTAGTGTAATCACATCTAACACCAAATTACATTATCATTAAAGGTTACCTTCTAGGGCTATTGCATATGTACTTTAAGAAAAACAGTTGAGTCTTAAGTAACATAGTTACTATATAAAGTTAAAGGCTTGGACTATTAATTTACATATATATATATATGTAAATTAATAGTACATAAGGTTTGAACATACAATCTTAGAGTATGTTGTATAAGGTGGCACCTCTAATTAAAAAAATCTGAAATATGAAATGCTCCAACTTTTTGAATACCAACGTGAAATAAATAGAAAATTTTGCACATAACCTCATGTGGTGGGTTGTAGCCAAACTGATGGTGTACTACATACTATATAAAATTATCATCAGGCTACATATATAAGGTATATACAAAACATAAATCAATTTCATGTTTAGACTTGAGTACCATCCCAATGACATTTCATTATGTACACAGATATATTCCAAAAATCAGAAAAAAATTGAAATCTGATATATTTTCTGTCCTAGATATTTTGGATTAGGGATACTAAAGCCATAGTACAAATTAGTATTGTACATATTTAAATGGTAATAGCTTAAATTGCCAAGTGGCAACACAATTCTTGGATATTAAAGATCTTTTGCCATTCTATGAGCTCTGCCAGGTCTGGGATAATGTGCTAGCTGACAAGCTGCTGCTAAGAGTGCTGCTGTAAGATTATGTAGCACTGTGTTTCAGCAAGGTCTCCCCCTCCAAATTCTCTTTCCTACCCAAGAGAATACAAGGCAGCTATACTTCCAGGTAGTTTCCAAAACTGAAAAATATTTCTAGGAGGAAGGGGTCAAGGTCAGCATAGTGTGGCGCCTTTGTGATGCCCTCACAAGGACTAAATCAGTCTCAGTTAATGCACCTGCTAATAGTGATTAGTTATATACCTTACCTACAGCCAAGCACCTTCCAACTCAATAAGCCCATCATTACATGTTAACCATTTTCAGGAGGACTAATATTTATTTTTAAGTAAATTTTATGTACTTACAGAAATGAAAAGTCTTCCATAAACAACATTTAGAACTAGTTTAATATACACTACAACAGTAACGTTTTTGCTTATAATTGGATGCAGACAGCATGGAGAAGTCTATTTCGAGCTAAACATTACCCATTCTTCCCTTAATAGACTAGAGTACAAATCATGTACAAAATGGGCTTTTTCTAAATGAAAGCAAAGTGCATCAGCTTCATCTCAGTGCACTCAGGCATCATTCACTTGGTTCGATCAGTGCTGCTGGAAGACCTTCCCCGCTCCCTGTGTGGGAGGCAAGCTGCCCAAGCCTGCGTGAAATATTCAGAAGCCAGCCCAGTGCTCACCTTCATCTGCATTCTCGGGAGGCCTGTGGCTCTCAGGTTTGTTTGTGAGAGCACTGATCAACTGTAGCTTCTCTCGCAGCTTGGATACCTGAGAATTTGAGCTATCTTCTTTCTGTCCAAAACAAAGATAAAAATAGGTTTAAGGTAAAATAAGAGCTCACCTCGATCTCCACTGTGTTCCTAGGGCCTACTTAGCATATGATGCTGGATCCTCAGGTTTCTTCCAAAGGCAATGAATGAATGAATCAGCAAATCCTAGATACCTTTGGTGCTCAGTGTTGTTAAGTGCTTAGCTGGACTTTTAGGGGAACATTATACTCCAGATGATCGAATTCACTGTGAACATTTGGCTGATGGGGGAGGCATGTGTGGGTCAGCAGTAAAGAAAATACATACACCCTTGCTCTGGGGTCTATGAGATACCTATTTCCTAAATGAGGAAGACACTGTTTTCTAGGAGCTATTTCACACTAACTAAATAACTGTCCTAAATCTCTTATATCAGCTTATAACTGGGACCTCTAAAGCAGTGCTGTATGCTTTTATCATCTGAAAAAGAAAAAAGGAGCAGAACCTAAACAAACCACAACTATTCCCCACAGTTCTTTCTCTTCCCTTCGGTGATGATTCAGCTGTTGTAGCAAGTTATCATTAACACAAACAGTGATATATATATAATTCAAAGTCTTACTTCCTTGTATCTTTGAAAAAAGTCCCTCCTGGACTCTGTCTTAGTCCCAGGATAATCCAGAGTGGCACACAAAAACATTTAATTGTAAAAAAGGAGACATCCAGTTTTCCCGAGGCTAGTTTCTATCTGCTCACACTACTGTGAAAAAGCCCAATCCTGTATTCACTAGAACAAGTGCTCAGCTCACATTTCTTTTATTCAGTATTGTTTACTTATTTCTCTCCTATCTTTACTTCTATCCTAATAGTTACTGTATAGTAGGTCACTTGGTCATTACTGTATACTAGGTCACTATTTAGGAAGCTCCATATGGATTATGTAATGAAAACTATGTATTAAACCTTTGAGCAATTAATAGCAAAGAGAAACTGCATCTAGTAGGACAAAGGGACTGACATATCAGGATGGCAGTTAAAAATACAAGGTTTAAAAGTAAAGCCAAGAAATTTAGCTAACTGGTATTGTGTTCTGTGTTTACTGCTAAAATGTGAAGTGCTGAAATCACCTCTTTCTAATACTATCCATCTGTTACCTTTTGTGCTCCACATTCATTTCTCGTCATTCAAGTGACTTCTTTTTTAAAAAAAGTATTAATTATTTAATTAGGTTCTTAGTAAGAAATTTAGAACACTAAGTTATGAGGATAAATTCCATTTGTCAGAGCAAAAACAGATTGCAGGTAGCCTCAGAGCTGAGGAACAGCTTTGATTTTTTTTTTTTTTTTTTTTTTGCTGAAATCTGTGCACTTTCTGATTCACCTTGTGCTGCTCTGAATTCTGGTATGTCTCTTTCTTGGTGTTGAAGATCTCACCCTCCTGGTGTCTGGGCTTCCGCAGCTTCTTCTTGAAGTAAGTATCAGTGAGGTGTTTGGGGATTTTCACTTTACTGATATCAATTTTTGTAGAGGTGGCAATGACAAAACTCTGGCGTGTTCTTTGTAGAGGAACACGATTAAGATTAAGAGGCCCAGTCACAAGTAGCAAGCCACTGGCCAACTGCTTCAGGAAGACCACTCTCTTGCCTCTGTGACATCCAGTGAGGATGAGCAAGATGGTGCTGGGAGTGATGCTAGCTTGACGTTTCCTCACATGCTGACTGAAGGGTTTCTTGTCGTGGCTCAAGAGCTTTCTGGGCACATCTTCAATAGGGTAGTATCTAGGCATAGTTCGAAGCTTAACCACCCAGGTACCTCCATTCTTGTCTCCACCCACCGGTTTTGTGATCACAGCAAGAACTTTCTCCTTCTTTTTCTTCTCAACCTTTGATTTAGCAGCTGTGTACTTTCTCTTCTACAAAGCCTTTCTGGAATACATAGCAGATTGGGAGTATCTACCAATTCTTCTAACCAGGACAGGATTATGGCTGCAGTGGGGCTGCTCCTTCTTGGACTTTTTTTGCCTTCACCTGACCCTTTTAACGAGTACCACTGGCAGAAGCCTTCTTGGCTTTGGGTTTTTTCTCTTTAGTGTCTGGCTTCTTAGTTTTTTTCACCTGCCATCTTGCAAGATGGGAAAGACTTAAGTGAGTTTTAAAAATATTTTCAGAATGCCTGTCATTCTGGTCTTCTAAATATGTACTTCTTGTCATGACATACCAATTATTATCATACTGTCTCACAAGTAAGAGTTTTTTTTTTTTTAAATGGGTAATAAATGAAAAAAAGAAAAAAAATGTCACAGGACCATCCTGCTACAATGCTGTATATGGTTAGATTTCTAAATTTCTGTGTAAAAATATGTAATTGTTTATTCATATTCTTTAAATGTTTCTCATTTTTAAAATTTTAATCTCTGTATTCTGTAGGGACTTAATGTTTAACATATCAATACTTGATGGAAAATACCTGTTCCATGTTATGCCTAAGATGTTTGATATTCAGACAGATAGTGAAGTTAAACCCAACTGCATATGTTGTAGGGTAATAAGCTTCTCTTCTGGAGGGATGACAACCTAAGTTTGCAGACCAAAAATCAGAGATATAGAAGGGCTGCAAGGACAGCCAACATTTTGACAACAGCCTTTCAAGGTCAGTGAACACTCAGGACATAGGAGAACCTGTACTGTAACATCATGTAACTCAATTGTGTCCCAAATTTTCTGATCAAGGAGATTATGGGGACACAGAGCAACATGATTGATGACGTAGAGTGTGCCTAAGGAGAGTCACCTGGAGAGAAAACATTCTCTCAGGCTTTCACAGAGAGCAAACTGGTCAGGTAATGGCCTTGACTCATCCACATGGCTGACACTGACAAAGGATCTGCAACCTGAGGTACAGGGTTACAGGATAAATCCTGAGGGTACTTGACCAACCTTATCAGATATAAAAGTTACATTTCTTGTTATATAGGTCTTGCTTTATCTTGGTCTTAACCATCCTGCAGAAAAGTATAAAAACAAGGTATATAAAGTAAAGACATATTAATATGCTGAACTGTGAAAGGCTCAAGTCAACAACTTCTGTGGATAACCCACTATTATTGTGGACTGCTGTACTGTGTTGGATTGCTTTGCTGAATTCATGCACCTATAGTATTTAGATGCCAATGTAATACCCATTTCTGACAGGACTAAACAAAAAAATGGGATACAAAGGAAGAACCATTTTGTACCTGTATATGCAGAATAGTTAGGATAGATATACAGCTACTTCCACTTAATTCAATGAGGAGAAAGATTTGTACTAATAGTGTTTGGACAGGATATCCTGTCTGCATCTTGTACTATGGATAACCACTAAGAAGATAACAATGTACAATGTATTAATTATTGAACTGTCTTATTAGTCAAACTGTCTTATTGCTACTTGTTTCTCAATAAAATAAAAAAATACTTTCAGAAGTAGTTAGAAAACTTAAAAGCCCATCTTATGATACACTGAAACCTTAAATATATAGGACTTTATCAGGTCAATACAAAACTGCTAAGGATGAAAAAAATAAAGATAGAAGGCATTACATCAAAAGCTGCCTGGTCTGTGGTTCTATGCCAACCTCATTTCCTCTGAACCTCATATCCTCTGAATTTCTCAAATGGAATGTGCATTATCAGATATCACTCTAGTCACTCAGTCACAACCTTCCTGGCTTCTGCTTTATCTTAGCCCAGGACTTACAATATTAAATAGTATTCCAATCAGAGAATGCTGCAGTCAAACTTTTTTTCCTGATGAAAGCAGAAGCATTGAAATGATCCCTAGGATTTGCAGGTAAATTAATTTATGTCAACAGGCACTGATTGGGATCACTCCCAAAATATCAGGCCCTGATCTCTGGTGGTATAGGGCTTATACATGATATCCAAGTAGGAGGTACAAAGGAGGTACAAAGGTGAGACCAAGAAGGCTGGCAGCCTGATTAGCTAGCAGGGTGAGATCATCAGTTACAAGGGTAGATAATGACCATCAGTTTATGACACTTGGTACAATGGTACTTTCAGGCATCCTGCATGTTTGGTTATATTCTTGTGGTTGCAAGGGTCAAGAAAGTAATTACAAGGTCATGAAACAGTTACAGAGCTAGGCAATGGTAAAAGAACAAAGTTAAAAAAAAAACAAATTTTCTTGTACAGTTTTTCCTTTCACTAGTGTATCAAAGCATATCATAGATTGCTTCTTTTATGTTGACTATATCTGGGTAGATACAAGGTAACAGGAACCAACTGAAGTTTAAATGGACTCAAGAGGTACTGACATTGCAGTATGACCATAGGAAATGATTTTGAGGTTGAGCACCATTTTTTGATTATCTATGCATCTGTCCTATCATTAGTACAGATAACTATCGGAGTTTAAAAGGCATTTTCTGAAAGAAGCCTCCCAGGCTTCTGTTAACCCTTCCTGATTTCTGTTAATACATCATACCCTATGCTTTTTCTTTGTAGCACTTCTCAGACTTAAGACTGATAAACCGATTTTTATTTCTGGTTAAGCCACCTGGTATTTACCGTTATGATTTGGGTTTCTATGATATCACTTCTGTTGGTAACTTAATCCAAAGATTCTCATTTCAGAGTGGCAGCCCTGTGACCCATCTTTTTTTTTTTTTTTTTTTATACTGGGGATTGAACTCAGGACCGGTGCTTGCTTGTCAGGCAGGTGCCTATGCCACTGAGCTGTCTCCCCAGCCTTTTATCACCCATCTTAAAGGGTAAAAACAATAAGAGGAAAAGATTAAAGACAATAATTAAAAGCTGATTGACATCTATTACATTAAAACAAAATTCTCTAGGTTCTTTTTGAGACAGGGTCTCACTATGTAGCCCAGGCAGGCCCTGAACTTGCAGTGATCCTCTTGCCTCAGCTTTCTGAGTGCTCAGTGACAGGGGTGCACCAACACACTTGGCTGGTCAAGCTTACTTGGAGGGTCTTGACCATTTTCAACAGAATGACAGGGGAGTGGGAGAATGGGAAAAAAGAGGGAGGAAGGCCAAAGAGATAGAAAACAGAAAATGGTGCCTCTAGTTGTTTCAGTTAAAACTTTGAAATATAAAAGGTGATAAAGCTTTATACAGATCCACAGCGGGTAGGATGATGTTGGAAATAACAATAAGACACATGGATATTATTACCAGTTTTATTCCTGGAAAAAAATAAAACAGGGAGGACAGGGACAGTAAGGGGAATTTGCCTTAAAAATTTTCAAGGCATAATATTTATCAAATCATTCAAGGTTCCTAGCCCCTATTTAGCTTAGCTGAGTTCAAAAGGCCTTTATAAATAGAGATCTTTTAATGTTTCCAGCTTTCTAGTAAATTACACATCCTTGTAAAGTGGGAGGGGAGACAGGAGGGGAACAGGTCTTTCTGCTCCACCCTTCAAAGCCATGTCAACTTGCCAGGGTTTCTCCACAGCAGAGCCATCAAACATCCTTGCCATGTGCCAGAGTTTGACTCTCCTTCTGGGCTTGCTTCCAGCCTTGGTGGTTGCCTGAATTTATAGTACAATTTCCTGTATTTGGTTTCTATTTTAATATATGCTGTGTCTTTTTGTATGAAATCTTTAAGATGAGGATTGCAGCTGTTAAAAAATAATCTACAGGGATCCCACTGTAATGTACACATGAAAGGTAGTTTAAAAAAAAAAACATCCTATCCACAAGAACATGAAAACCAGTGAACTATAGGATTGGCCACTTATTAAGCCTGTTAATAAAATGACGGGTTGGACTCAGTGACCCTGTAAGTTGATCTGATATGGCTTAAATGTTTTCTTGACATTATGTACAAAGAGCTCTCCCTAACTTGCAGAGAGAAGTAGGCTGAATCTGACAGCCAAGTTCAGGCTTGACGAAATGGCAAAAGAAGATTTGTTTGGTAACAGTCACTGTCATTGCTCCCATTTTTAATGCTCTGAAAAGGAAACTATAGAGAAGATGCACCATTGGAAATACTGTCAGAGCCACCACACCTCCACAGTGTTCTCCTGTAGCAGAACAGACCTGTCATCTCGGCCAACCACTTGAGGTGAGGCCCTGGCAAGCATCCTGGCACCGATCTATCTCTCTTTCCAAATGGGATTGGCACTGCCTATGCAAACATTAAAGGAGACGTGGATTGAGCATAATACAAATGTGTAGCTTCTTAAATATGCCAGAAGACTGTTCCCAGAAGACGGCGGAATGTTACGTAGGTACAGACAAAACACAATTCAACACAGATCAGGTCACAAACAGTCTGAAAAGCTTACCATGCTGGAGGTCAGGTTTGCTCTCTTTTCTATCTTGGTCAGAACAACCATATCACTTTCTATCAGGTTGACTCTTCGGGTAACATTACTGAGCACTTCATTCATTCCCTTGAGTTTAAGATCATTCTGTCTCTGGTACACCATCAGGGCACTATTTACCTCTTCTAAAGAGTTATGAAGGTACAGGATATCCTAGAGTGCAAATAAAAGAAGTTTCAGAATCCAGCTAAGGATGTATATTAGGCAAGCAGGCTAATGGCACTGAATAACCATTATTATGTCAAGTTACTAAAGCAAACTCCTTTTACTGGTTGTGAACATCAATTGTCCATCTCCGTTTTGTCCCTCATGCTCTAAATTGTTCCCAGTTTACTCCCTCTGGAGTTGTTTGACATCAGATAGATGGGAAGGGAAAGAGAGAAGAGGACTACCTACATGATTCTCTCTCTGGTGCTAAAAAAGTGAAGAGTTTGGCAATTGATTATTCAATGTTTTCCTTACTTGCTGGCAAGAAAGCCTGCTGGGTTATTAACGGAAAGTCCCATTAACCTAATTTGTCAGAACAAAACTACCTTAGGAACAATACCAATTACTGAATTGGCTCATGTAACAAAACTATAACAAGTAGTACATTATTTAGTACAAGCTTCAATTATTTTTATTGGCATCCTCTAGTACTGATTGCTACTTAAAAAGGAATGATGACTATAAGGCTTAAAGGGCATTAAACTCAGGACAGAAATTCTTCTTAGTGGAGATTTCCTTTATTTTCTTTAATGTGATTTTGAACACAGTATTCTTTTTTCCCCCCTCTCTTGCCTTTCATCTTTGGACTTTAGAAAACCCAGTTTTTAAGGCGATTTCTCCTAACATTCTTAGGATTACTGTAGTTCAAAATAGCTACTGCTCTAGAATAATCTACTACACATCCATCTTTGACTTGCCCAGATTGCTATTTTTCATAGTTTCAGGATAATCTGGTCTTTCTGTCTTTCAAGATCAGAAAAGAAATTTACTTTACTGACTGACATGCACAGGAAAAATTAATGTGTTAAGGAAGAGATGGGGTGGCTTTTTGGGTCCCCAGGATACCTATATACATCTCTCTTTGCTAGGCTTTCAGGCAAGCAAAGAGCTAGAGGAGCCCATGCTGAGGCATCATAGCATTCAGCCCACACTCCACAGGCTGCCTCCACAGCTTGCCGTAGTATAAAGACAAAATGTACCTGTTTCGAATTCTCACTATGTGTCTTATTGTCAAGTTCTGATGTAGATGAAGGTGTTGGAATGATCTGGTTGCTTTTGTTGGTCTCCTTCAAGAAGTGCTGATTCTGTTAAAATGGATGGAGGTTAGTGTAGGGAGCAAATCATTACTAGGTTGACTGAAGCATCTAGGGTGGTTGTGGAACATTTTAGCCTCCCCAGAGTGCAACCGCAGATTTCAATTACAAGCACCCTATGAACCTATATACGTGTGGCTAGTCTTGTACTAGGCCCTGGAGGCACCACAGACTTTTGGGGATGCCAAGCCTGAATGATGGACAGGACCAGTAATGCTCAGATTATTCTAGGAAACTGAGACCCTCTTAGTCTGCCTCTCATAATGGAATGAACTGAACAAAACATTTTTCCTCTCCCCTTTTACCAGTATTCCCAGAGAAACTGAAGAATCATTAGAATGTTCTCATTACCAACTCCGGCTGAATCTAGCATGGTGCCACCATTTTCACTAGTCCAACAGGGCTTCACATCACAAAAGCAACCAGTCATGTAACCACCAGCATCAGGCATTGAACACAACAACTGATCACATATATTATAGTGTTTTCCTTACAGCACATGCCAAGATCTGTGTTGGGAATATTATCTTTCCTTTACCATTCCCTCTCCACTGTTCTAGTCTTTCTTTGTAGAAATGAAAATGTAACATGCTTATATTGTATATATTTTTTCTATACTATTAGGGAAAACTGCCTGTCTTAATCTTTCACTGTCTGTAACTATAACTTAGTATAAAGTATGTCTGTGTTTGAATTACTATCAGCAGTTGTAAAACTTTACAAGAGGTAGATTAATCACAATACAACATAATTGGTAAAGACATATTGTTTCCCTCGCAAACTGAAATCCTAGACATTTAGCAAACCCGTTTTTATAATACATCAAAGCAACATTAAAGAGAAAAGAAGGAAAAACTTATGATTCTAGAAAGCAGGAATTTTTCATTTAGGTAGAGGCATTCCAGAAAATGGTTCATTTGCTTGAGAACACGCTTAAGATAAAAGAATTGCTGAGCCACAGGCTATTATTATGGGTCACAGAGTTACACAGTGGCAAATGGAACCAGAAGCCAGGTGTCTGGACACTTAGATCAATGCTTTTTCCTCTGGCTGAGCCCCTGCTAAGTAATAGGACTACTGGTTCTGAAGAAAATGAAAATTCCTCCATCTGAGAGTTCTCTTATGAGCTCAGTTATCCTTGGTACAAATTGCCCAGTTTAAACTTTTAACTCTAAAAGCAAGAACATAAAGGGCAGATCTAGAAATTAATCAACAGGCTAGGGAACTTTTGTGTGCCTCAAGTAGTAATTATTTCATGTACATATAACTTATCTTTCTAGAAAGACAGTAAGGGTTGTGCTGTCCTTTTTTACTCTTCATAAAACTTTCACAATGCTATTACCCATTGATTAATTAAGGTCTCTGAATGACTACAGACAGCCTACATCTGGAGGAACATTAGGAGACCCTAGGATATTTAAAAACAATTCTAGGCACTGCAAGGTTTTGACTCTGTCTTAGCTTTCACTGTATAACAATCACCTCCAAACTTTAAGACTTAAAACAACTGAGTATTTCACATGATTCTGTGGGTTGAATGTGCTCAGCTGGATGGGTGCTTCTCTTATTCCATGTGGTACAGGCTGAGATCACATGTAAGGCTGAATTCCACTGAGACCTGGCTGAAGCTGTGACAGTCAGTATGGCCTTGCATCCTCCAGGTCACCTCTTCCCTTGGCCTCCCAGCACTTTCAGTAAGAGTCCTGCCTAAGTTCCTGATGTTCAGAACAGCTAGAAATCATAACTTGTCTTGGGGTGGGCTTTTATATAGCACCAAATAACTGAGACAAGTCTCCATTTCCTTTTCCTTCTTTCCTATTTTCCATTCTACCCTTGCCATCCTCAGTCAGGGTTTTATCATCATCCCCTCCAGTGCCATGTTTGCCAGAGATGTGCTTTCAATTCTAAGTTAACTGTTTAATTTACATGTTTTTTGGTTTTTTTTTTCTGGAACCAGGGATTGAACTCAGGCCCTTTGTGCTTGCCAGGGAAGCATTTATTCCACTGAGCCATCTCCCCAGCTTTTAATGTTATATGTTTTTTGGTTTTTTTTTCTGGAACTAGGGATTGACTGTTTAATTTACAGACTGAAGAACAATTAGTACATGTCACTTATTAGGTCTTTTAAACAGGTGCATAGTTGGTCCTGTTCAGATCAGTGGAAAGTTGCTACCATGACTCTTACAAAGAAAAGGGCAAGCAGGAACATGCTGCTTTCTGTAGCATTTACAGACTTCCTTACCATATCACTCTGCAGTAATTCCATGTTTTTTGTGTGTTCATCCACAGTTTTCTGTATTGTCTCCACAGCAAGATGCACGCTGTTCAAAGTATTGCCAATGGAAGCTACACTCTGAATGCAGAAACAGGAATATCAAGATTTTTCCCTTCTTAAAAGTTGCATGAAGATATGTGACATGCAATAAACTGCACATATCCAAAATACCCATAGAACTACTACCATGATCAGGTAAATCTGTAAGTCCCCTCTCCCTATCTCCAGGCAATCACTGATTTACTTACTGTCACTATCAATAAGTCACATTTTATAAAATTTTATAAACCAAAAATGAATGCAGCCAATGAGTATGTATTTTTTTTTAGTATGGCTTTTTCTTTAAGATTAAAAAAAATCTTTTTTTATTTGGTACAGGTCTTGCTATGTATGCAGCTTGGATTCGCAAAGATGCTCCTGTCTCAGCCTCCCCAGTGCTGGGATTACAGGTGTGCACCACCACATCTGGTTTCAGTGGCTGGCATGGTGTGCCTGGGGTTCTGAAGCCGGCATAGCATGTGGTGCTGGGGACTGAACCTGGGATCCTTGTGCTTGTCAGGCAGGCACTTAGACTGTTGAATTATCTCCCCAGCCCCAGTAGGGCTTCTTGTACTCAAAATAATTGAGATTCATTAATGTTGTAGTTACTTAGCATGTTGCATTCCATACCAAGGATATGTCAATGTGTATTCACCTGCTGAGGGACATTTAGGTTGTTTTCAGAATTTATATTATAGTAACACTGTTATAAACATTCTTGTACAAGTTGTTACATGGGTTTATGCCTTTACTTCCCATTGTCATTACAGCATTTAGGAGGAAATGGCTGATCATATGGCAAATCTATGCTTAACTGTTTACAAAACTGCCAAACTGACTTTTAAAATAACTATACTGTACCATTTTATAGTCCCACCAGAAGTGCAAGTGTTCCCATTACTCCATACCCTCATTAATACCAGTAGCCATTTTTTTTCAATTTAAGTCATTAATATTAGATTGTGATTTCAATTCATATTAAACAATAACCTAATGTAGATTAGTATTTTTTATTTAATTATCTTCAAACTAGGGATGCCATGTAATTTAGACTGAGATAATTAATAAAATTCTGTTTCTAGTTTTGTACATATACACCAAGCAATTCTCAATTTAAAGGATTTTACTTACAGAAAAATGAAATGTTCCCTAAAGAAAAGCCAAATGTTTCTTAAAGAAAAGATATTGTTTTATAAATGTGGGACCTATAGGTAAGGTTCCCACATAAACTATTTCTGTCAAGACCTGTACTGGAAACCAGAGGGCCAGAGTCAATACTGTAGACTGTCACTGGATCAGGAACAATTGACAACTTTTGAAGAAATGGGTGGGAACAATTTTTAGCTCTGAGAAACCTAAAACTATAGCGATGAAAGAAAAGTTTCACGTGGCAGTGTTTCCTTTACTGTAGATCTACCAGTAATTACTGAGTACAGCTAGACTGAGGGAGTAATTTGCTTTCATCAGACCTAAGGAGGCCAAGTATATGGGGCACATGATTCAGAAGACATTTTTAAAAATAAAGCTTTGTCCTTAAAGGGATACCCAAAAGTGTGTTACTATCTGGTAGGTTCTGGCCTTTATTAATACCTGTTGATAATTTATAGTGTCACATTAGTATTTTTGACAAAGGTAATTTTTTTTTTGACAAAGGCAATTTTTTTTATTACACTAATACACAAGAATCTAGGGGCTGGGGAATACAGCTCAGCAGCATAAGCACCTGCCTAGCAAGTGCAAGGTCCTGAGTTCGATCCCCAGTACCACCAAAAAAAAAGAAAGAAAAAATTGATAAAAAAAATATATATACAAGAATCTAAGAGAATGACAGATAACATTTTCAACTAAAATTAAAATCTCAATTAAAGAGAAATTACATCATATACTTTGAAGTTAGGAGTTTGGGATGACTTAACACTTCAAAACCGGGCTGTCAAAGCATTGTGTGGCCTCATTAATGCATAGATTTGCAGAGACAAGGTACTGGGGAGGAATCTCTAAGTTGGGATGCCATATAAACATTGTTGTTCAAAGCTACATTCAAAGACATGTACTGTTAGAGAATTCTTGCTGGCTTGATATCTGGGCCCATCAGGATACATGAAGATATTAAACTCTTATTTAGGAATTTTTTATTTTTATTTTATTTATTTATTTATTTTTAATTTGTTTATTTATTTATTTATTTTGTGTGTGTGTGGCCAGCTCAGCCCACCAGGGGGCGGGGCTGGCTGGCATCAGAGCAATTCTCATACATGCTAATATAAGAGTTTCTGCAGAGCAATTTGGGGACTCAGAGGGATAAATGAAAAAATGTGAATTCATATAAACCATAGCCAAAGTAACCTGCTGTAAATTAACAGCCGGATTAACCAGACCACAAGAAAGATGCTCTGAATTCTTTAGAATACAAGGATATTCTCTATTACTTTCCTCTCAGGGCAGTTGATTTCAAATGTCAGGCTTTTCAAGAAAACCTGTAAGAAGCTAGAATTGAAGGAGTGAGTTAATCCCAGTATCCATACATAGTGCTTACCTTCTGAAGTCCCTCTACAGTGTTAGGTAGGCTAATTAGATCGGCAGCTGACTTGACATTGGCTTTGAGGTGGTTTACTGCAGAAGTCAATTGAAAAATCTGGAAGGAAAAAAGCAACAAGCAACAAATACAGAATTTATAGAGTATTCTTTCTTAAATTTTGTGGTTGATGATGTCCATGTACCCTGGTAGCTCATAGGAGCACAGGAGCTATAGTACCTTGGCTAGAGCTGAGATTTGGAAGGCAGCAGTAATACCTCTTCTTTCCCTGCCCAATTTAAACTAGTGCCAAAGAGGGAAAGGCAAGTATTATTCTTTACCCAGTCCTGGCAGCTATAAGGTCCAAAAATCTTAAATTGCCCAAAAGATGCAGTAATTACCATACAATCCTTCAACAATTGAACAGGAAAAAAGCTAATGATCAAGGACCACTTCAAGATTTCATTTTGGTAAAATATAACACCTCAGTTATTTAACTGAACTTATGTTCCTGTCCAAGTGGGAACATATTTTATAAAGTAAAAGCCCATCACCACATAATAGAGTCCACATATACTGTATCCCGACAACTTGAACAGTACTTTCAACTGCTTGGGGATTTGGTTTTGGTTTAATAATGTGATTAATATTTCAGACTCAATAGCTCAACCAAAGTACTACTTTGTACCCTGAAGGCTCAATAAATACCCATTGACTCACTGACTGATGCAATGAATGTATTACAATAAGAACTGAATAAAAATGTGGCTTCCTCTCTGCTATTTAGGGGTAGAATTCTAAATAGCTGGATTTCACCCTTGAGTGGGGGTTGGGAGAACCTGTATAACATTCAATTTCAGGCTGCGAAGATCATATTCTAACAATTCTTACAGTGTGGCTTAAAATGTTCTTCAAAGATTCTCAGTTCTAAACTTTTCTCCTATTCCAAATTCTAGGATAAGAACACAGATCTAATAAGAGCGATTAGGAGAGTGGCCTTGTAGAATAACCATTCCGGTTTCTGGGCACCGCTATAGGCCAAGCACTGTGGCAGGCAGCAGATGGACATCAGACCAAGTAGACACTGATTCTCTATCGCTCCCTCAACAAATGCTTGGCAACTTCTCTGTGTTAAAGCACTGCTCAGGAACCATGGAGACAGTGGCAAGCCAGAGCATGAGGCTTTGCTCTCATGGAGTTTATTTCTAGTAGAAGGTGACAGATAAACAAAGAACCAGTAATAAGTCGGTCACAATAAGGGAGTCCAGGGAGGAAGCTGGTTACTCAGGATCTCAGGTTCTCATTTCTGTTTTTCCCTTTAGGAGGGCTGAATGCACAGGCTTAAGATCATTTTCATTTATTCACTAATTAATGCAACAAATATTTAATCTATCTATCTATCTGTTTGTCTTGAGACAGGGTCTCACTATGTAATTCAGGCTGGCCTTTAACTCACTGTGTAGTCCAGGCTGGCCTCAAATTTGTGACTACCCTCCTGTTTCAGCCTCCTGAGTCAAGCCCTATTATATACCAGTAGTGAACAATGCAGATGTCAGGAATCTTTTTGGTGTTTACATTTCAGACAATTCTATGTATGAAAAACACCAGGTAGAAGTGACTAAGTAGCTACTTTGGGTGAAGGTAAGAGAAGGGGCCAGGTGTGGTGGTACATGCTTGCAACTCCAGCACTTTGGGAGGCTGAGGCAGGAGGATCCCAAGCTTGATATTAATCTGGACAACTAAGTAAGACCCTGTCTCAAGAAAAGGACTGGAGATGCAGCTCATTGTGAAGGTCCTCCATTCAAGCCTCAGTAAAACAAAACAAAACAACAACAACAACAACAACAAAAACCATCCCCTAAAAAGATAAAGTCAGAATTGGGCTCTGTAAGGAAGTAGAATTTAAATAGATCTTTATAATAAAGAATTAATCATACAAAGATTGGATGTGTACTTCAGGGTAAAGGAAATTACTAGACAATTAAAAGAAAGTGCTTGGTCTAGTTAAAGGATAGACCTTCAGATAGCAGAACTTGGCTAGAGATACAGGAAAGGGCCAGAACAGGTAAAAAGGCCTTTGTAAACCAGAACAAAGATGTGGATTGTATTTGAGAAATAACGGGAAGGGGTGGAGGAGGATAATTACATGATTACAGATACCTTGTGTGAATATTATTATGACTGTCTCGTGGAAACAGGAGTCCAGAAACAAGGTGATTGGGTAGTATGGGCAAGAGATAATGGTGGTTTGGATTTCACTTGTATCAGAGGTAGTAGAAGAAGTTGAGATGATATGATTTCCTGGGACTAGATATTAGGGGTGAGGAGGAGAAAAAAATTAAAGAAATTTCTAAATCTTTCACTTCAAAGAGCTAAGAGAGAGGGCCCATTAAATAAATAATTAAGCATTGACTGTGATATTGGGTAAAGTTCAGAAAAAACATTGGTGGAGACACGAAGGGATAGGCTTTACTGAAGTGGGACACAAAATAGACTAATGGAAAAGTTAAGATTTATATCTAAAAATAAAGCAGGTGCTAGGTTTGGTGATGCATATCTTAATCCCAGCACTGGGGAGGCTGAGGCAGGAGGATTGCCATGAGTTTCAGACCAGCCTGGATTATATAGTGAGACCCTGTCTCAAAAAAACACCAACCAGCCAATCTTTCTAGGTTAGAAATGTGAATGGCATTGGAAAATGGGTAGGGAACAACAGCATCATCGATTCAGCAGTACTTTTCCTACACTTCTCAAAGTGACAATAATTTAATTATTGAGATTTCTCTCCTCCACAAGACTGTAAACTCCATGTGATCAAGGACCATGTCTGTTTTATGTTCCACAATATGCCTGCCACAAAGACAATTCAGTAAACACTTACTGAATGAAAGGAATGAATGACTGAAAAATAATACTTGGGTTGAATTCTGACATGGCTAGTCCCAAGCAGGGTAGAGGGAGAGGCCAAGAGGTTAGAGATAAAATTAAATAAGTAATGAATTTACTTTTCTTACCAATATAGTGCTCTGATTATGACAAGAACAATAACAACATCAACATCATCAAAACAGTTTAATAATCACCGTACAGGAATGTGTGGTTTGAAAAATGTGTCTGTGAAAAAACTAAAATGGAAATGACAACTGGCAACTTTGGAAGCTAGGTCATACATCAAAGGCACTATTGCAACTCTGGCGTCTTTGCGCTCTTGGATCACTCATGGGAGGAGGCTGGTTGCCACTCTGTGAGGGAACCCACACAGCCCCAGGTTGGGAGGAACAGATCTCTTGCCAATAGCCAGGAGAGGACCTGCCACGCCTATCCAAGTCTTTGGATGAGGAAGCCCTGGCTGATATCTTAGCCTTAGAGATCCTAGCCAGAAGCATTCTACTTAGATGTTCCCCAAATCCTGACCTACAAATACTGAAAAGAATAAATGCTTGTTGTTTTAAGCCACTAAAATTTGGGATGAAATTAATTCAACAACAGGTGACTAATACTGGTAATAAGAATGAAATTCCATATATAACTAAAGCTCTTAGCACAGTACGTTGTACAAATGAAACATCAAATAAGTGACAGTTATTAGTAATGAAATTTAATGAGCATTTAAACATGTAATTCTCCCTAAGTGCTTTAAAATATGCAGACTACTTATAAACATTCTGACTCTATCTGCTTAAAAACAGAAGTGAAAAACACCAAACCACAGGGAGATACCTTAAGTAAATTATAAACCTCTTAAAACTAGTAATTACATCAAGGAAGTTTTCACCTATCCCTTTAAGAAGATATGAATAATACTAAGATTTGAAAAGGACATAAGAAGACAGGCATTCTCATGCATTGTTTGTGGAAGCATAATCAGAGAAGCCTTTTTAGAAGTTTATCTAGGAATATCTATCAAAATTTGAAGTGTTTAGGATCTTTATTCAGCAACTTTACTTTTAGAAATCAATCCTGAAAGACTACTTGCTTGTGTGCACAAAGATATATGCACTAAGATATTTGTGTCTTCTTTATGTTTAATAGCAAAGCAACTAGAAACAGTTTACATGCCTATCAACTAGGATGTAGATAAATTTTGGAAACAAAGCAAATTCTAGTACAAAACATACTGAAAACCCCTACTTATTTATACTCACAGGCTGACCCATAAGCAAATTCATATTAAAAAGCTACTAAAACTTTGTAGAGGATTGTAAACATGTGGGCCTTATTACAGACACTGGATAACTATGAGGATGGAAAGCACAAAGCATGAGTGTGTGCACGCGTGTGTTGGGGGCAGACAGATGGGGACTGAAGGGAAATCTGCATGAGTTTTACATGTGCTTTCTTTTTAAAATCTTATATAAGAATATGTTTACATATTACTTACACATTTTTAAGACAAAAGATGAGAAAAACATATGAAAAAATCCCAATTTTTGGAGTTTTGATGGGTTTGCTTGGCTGCCCCTTTTTTTCTTCCAAGTCCTCCACTGGGCCTTCTCAGACCATCTGTGCATGCCCATGATGTGGTAGGAGGTATATGTTTTATTCACTGTCCTAAAGTATATACACAATCAGCCCCAAATCAATTTGATGGGCAAGAATGTAGTTACTCCAAGTGCTCCAATTATGTAAGTACTTCTGAGACAGCTTGAAGGGAATGCAGACACGATTAGGTGAAGTGTGGTTCCCACTCACACCATGCCACACTCAGGCTAGGCTTTAAGCTGCCTCATTTAAGGAGTACACTGAGGAGAGCTGACCATCAACCCTGCAGCTAACCAACACACTTAGGGCTTCTTGTCGTAAGATCCAGATCATATGCTGGTCACTAGGATTTAGCTGTATTTCCATGTATTACAAAGCTGGATTCCAGTCTTTCTCTCTTCAGAGCAGTAATGCCAAAATCTGGGAAATTATAGTAAATCCATGTGCATAACTAGAATGGAAAGATGGTGGGCACCTTCCCATTACTGTCCCTGGAAATGCTCTGGCCTCTGTAATAGGCACATTCTAGAATATCATATTAGATTCAAGCACACAAATGTATTGCTAAAAGTCACATTTTGAAAAAGAAAAAAACCTCACATTCCAGCCAAAAGATGAATCATGGCTTTTATGCATAT